CTAGTCATAATCTTTGGAAATAACCTGGCCCACCCTTTAATTGAACAATTCAAAACAGTGCACTTCATCTCTATTCAACGCAAATTGTGAACATTTTAGGGCTATTTTTAGTGAAAGACAGATATTTTTAATCAGTCTTATGGCTCCCACAGATACATTTATATCAAACTTGCTTCAACTCACTTTTTTTTCTGTTTCTTTTTCATTTTGACTATCTTTCCTTCTTCTTCAACTTCTTCCTCAGACTCACCTTCTTCTTCCCCACCACTCCCCTCTGATGAAACATAATTGAACACTTTTGCACCCTAGATCGCATTCATAAATTCTCCATAGTTACTGTCTGCCATGTAATTCTTATGATGTTAGTCCAGAGAATTTGGTATTGAATCAACTGATAATCCCCTAATTGATATTTTTCTTTGCTCTTTAGAGTGGAACGCTATAACAAGATAGGGACCTGGACTCTACATATGAGTTGCCCGATAGGGGCCCGGTGCGAGCCGTTCAAACCACATTGTTATTGTTACATGTTCTTATCATTCTGTAGTGAGAATGCTTGTCTCTTTTAAATGAACATCTTGGTGAAATGGATGAATTCCTATCTATTACAAGAACATGTAACAATAACAACGTGGTACAAATGGCTCGCACCGGGCCCCTATCGGGAAAATCATATGTAGAGTCCAGGTCCCTATCTTGTTATAGCATTCCACTATACTCTTGTCACCTGTCTGCTTGATATTGCAACTTGATATTGAAGGGTGAATTCTGTCGTTAGTCACTTATGAGAGTTAGAGAATAAAGTAACACATTTATTTCTCACTCCAGTAAATAGTAAGAATAGTTGTAGTTTAAAATGAATTTCTTGGGGCCCATTTCGTGAAAGTCCTAGTAATGTAATGGGTCCGTAAAGCAGTTCTGTTTTTAATTAAGATGGGTCTTTCAAAACTTTTGAAAATTATACTTTAAAACTAACAGCTAAAGCAAAGAAAAAAGACTTTAATTCTGATTTTCAAATGCAGTTTTGGGTACCGGGACTTTTGAGAAATTAGACCCAGTCCCCCAATCACTTGGCTACACTGCCTTCAAGGATAGACAGTAACTAACTTGCCTTCTACAAGCTGTGCCTTAAGTCTTTCAATCTCCTTTTGAAATTCTCTAAGCAGTGCATCCTTGGGATCTTCATTGATCTTAGCTTTGTTCTTGATATTTTTAGCCCAGTTTGCATACCTAGTTGTAAATTTACATTGTAGACATGAGAGAACTTAACTGCTATGGGGACAGGTTGTTTGAAAGGCGATTAGTGCTAAACCAAGATTAAAAGTTAACTTTTGCTTTGATTTCATGTGCATGAAGTTGTATGCTGAGACTGGGTAATATAATCAAAGTGAAAATATCAACCAAACTAACCAATAAATCTGTCTAAAAAGTCATAAATTCTTGGCCCATTATCTTTCCACTGGAACAGGGCATCAGAGGATCTTGGTTATGTCACAAGAAAATTTACTTGATCCCCCATTAACAGTCAACTTTTGTAGTTCCCCCTTTAAACTCTGTTAGAGATGACTGATC